CCACTTTTGAGTCGAGGCATAAACAATTGCAATAAACATGGGGATTTGAAGTATTTTTAATATTTTTATTTAAAATTATATATATATATATATATATATATATACATATATTATCAGAGTGATTAAAATAATAAAAATTATTAAGTAATAATTATCTTCTAAAATTTGCGTATCAAAAATAATATTAGGCAGAGATACTTAGTTAAAAAAATTAAAGTAAAAATTATTAAAAATAATTAATGCGTGCTTTCGTAACTTTTAATGGACGTAAATTTTAATAATAATTTTTCAATCATTAATTAGTGTGCTAAACGAGACTCATAATATTCTTTAACTTTTATCATCTGCAATTAAAAGTATTTTTTAACGAATAAGAAGGCTATGTCTAAAAATTACAAATAAATATTACCATAAAAAAAAGCCAAAAGTCTTTTAAAATATTTTGCGAGACAAATATTTAGCAATTCATAGTGATATTGCTATTATTAAACTTCAACTAGATTTAATACTTAAGCGAATTAAATTTTCTCAGCCATGTCATCACCGACAACAATCTTATGTAGCTTTTCACTATTTGTTCTTTACTGGCAATGACAAACATTAAAATTGAATGGAAAAACTTCTGATTAATCTTTTCAAAAGTTGTGTGTCACGACAACAGTCTCTAACATGATGCTATATAAAATAATACAGATATTTTTAATTAAATATAACTCCAAGGTTACTATTAACATGATCAGAAATCATTAAGTCAATAAGGAACAAGCATTTCAAAATTCAATTCATTTTTACTATATTTGACCATTAAATATTTTTTACATTATCATCTAATTATAAATTTTTATATTATTAATAATTATTTTAAAAATTATATTATGATAATTTGAATTAGTTGATGTTTTTAAAAATCATTTCTTAAAAATATTCATTCCTAATTTTTTTATGTTTAAAATATTAGAACGATAACTATAAGGAATATGCGTTACAAAATTTCATTTAAAGTTCAGAATGCAGAGTGAGAAGTTAAGGAGTACTCTAAGATAATTCTAATGAATAAATAGTATCGATAATATATGCTTTTATTTTCTTTTATATTTATGATTGATTGATTAAAAATAATAGTTTGAAAAAGGTTAAAATAGTGTAAACGATTATTGTGGGTCTATGTGTCGATTATTATTTTTAGTGTTTTATTTGTTAGATTAAGTTGGAAAGGAGAAACATTAGCACAGGAAAGCAACAAAACAAAGCATGACTTTAATGTAGTGAATAGACAAATTATTTCTAAGACCGAAATCATGCCTATTATTATTATTCTAATTTGACTTATCACAGTCAACAAATTTATTATAAAGAAAGAGTTATATTATTAATATAATTAATTTATATAAAATTTTAATAGTAATTAATTTTTAATCCAAAATTTATTTACGAAGATAATCTTTCATCAAAAAATTTGTCAGCAGACAGGAAGAGTCCATTTTTAAAACAATTTCGATTAAATTAGGCTTATTTGAAATTTATTTAACTTATATTACATAGATTATTAATATGGATTTAGAAAGAAAACAAATTTGAACATGCAAATTTTCCAAATAAAAAACAAAACATCGATTCACGCTCACAATCACATTATTGGTCCAATTAATCATGAAATCGAATTTACAATTCAAGCTCATAATTTATTAGAGAATTCGAGAATTGAATTGTAAATGAATTTTGAGAACGAATTTGATTCGGAAGTTGTCGGTGGAAGGGAATGGATCCTCCCAATTTTCATTTTACCATTTGCCATGTTATTCAATCCCAACCGTTTACAATCATTAAGAGAAAATCAATGGTTGAAAATCAAAGAAATATTTTATTTTTCTTTTCATTTTCCTCTCATTATTTCTCTTTGTCTTAACCTTTTTAGATTTAAAGTAGTCATTAGTTCACAACTAATTAAGAGAGAACAAAACATTAATCATCGATCCATTAATACGTAGTCATCAACAATTAGTTTAATTTAGTTTAGATTGCTATTAACCTCATGGTTATTTGCTATTCTTTCAAATAGCAGAAAACATATTATGCAACATGAGAAATAGCTAATTAATAGTTTAGAACATAAATACTCATCAAATTACAATTATATAAATCCCTTTCACCACCCATTCAAACATATTTTCAACCTTCATCTCCTTTACTTGGCATTTATCCCTTTCATTTCTTTTCCTTTACATTTATATATTCACATTCCAATTCTCAACAGCTTTTTTTATATTCTTTCTTTACAGCTTTTCAACTTTTACTATCCTTTGCTTTCAATATGAACTTAAGGAATAACTAACATTCATATCTAAACGCATTTTGAAGTAGTCTAAAAAGTCATAGCTAAGAAATGAAGTCTTTTTTTTTTAAAGCTAATAACCTAATCAACAGTGGGATTGATGTATTTGAAATGAAGTAATTAATGTGGCTAGCTTACTGATTGGGTCCTCACAACACAAAAGAAGTTGAATTAGCTAATATTAAATCAGAAAGAAAGCAAAGTGGTGAACCTTGGAGCGATTGTGAAGAGAAGATAGATGGCGAAAGAGGAAGGAAGTGGCTGTGTTTTTGTGCTTCAAGAAGAACAGTGAAAGTCCCAATTCAAATAGAGATGATGGAAATCATCGATGAAGGCTCAACGAAGTTTCATTTTAGAATTACATTAAAATGTTATTATTAATTGTATTTTTTTAATTTAAATTCATATTTATAAATTTTTAACATTTTTAAATACACGTTGTATGCATTCTAGAAAAACAAATAAATATTAATTCCTAAATAAGGGAGAATCGAAACATCCCCTGATAAAATTAAGCTAATTATTATAAAATTTTTATTTAAATACAATTTTTTGTTTTTGAAAAGAGAATCTTGGATAAGATCAGGTAATAAAAGGTATCAATATGAAAGCTTTACTGGAAGGGATTGAATTTGACGCATCTCCACTTAGTCCATTTCTTGCACTTTGATTTAATTATCAATAAAGTCACTCTTACAGCAATTATTTTCCACAACCATTACCAATTCAAGATCACATCAAGAAGAGAGAAACACCTCACACTGCTATTTACATACTTGTTTTTATTTTGTTTTTCCTTTTATTTAAAAAAGAAAACAACTACAATAAAGCTTATTGCACCGAGTAAGGTAGGTTATATATATATATATATATATATATATATATATCACATCATATTATTGGCCTCAATAAAAAAAATAAATTTTGTAAAAGTATTTTTATCATAAGATCTCAATAAAATAAAAATAAAAATTTAAATTATGACAGCCCCTAAGCTTATATCACATAATGATAAGATGAATCCCAAATAAATTGAAAGAAATTACAAAAGAAAAGGAAAAAAAAATAATTACATGCTGTTTGTCAACTAATCTTCTAACGGGTCAAAATACAAAATGAATGACTCTTAACTCTTTTTAAGTTTTTCTTAATTTTTTGCTAGAAAAGCTAAAGACAAAAATAAAAATGGAAGAGCTTTTAAAGAACTTCTAGTCTTCTTCTTTTTTGCCTTTATTTCTTATAAATTTATTTTTTTAAATACAAATTCTCTTATGTTCTGGCTTCATATTCTCGCTAGAATATGAGAGGATCCTTATTTCTTTTTTTTTTATAGGTTTTTTTTTCTCTTATTATAAAATAAAAAAAATAAGATTTATATAATGTCTTTTATTGTTATATCCTTATCAGGTATTTCCTATGATTACCTTTATCACACACTTCTAGTTTAATAAGTTAGCTTATAAACTTTAAACTAATTTATCAACTAATTTAATTAAACATAATTTAAAAACGTGTTTGACAAGACATTTTAATCAATTCAAAGTTATTTGATTAGCATATAATGTTGTTTAACAATAATAAATGTACTTATGAACGAGTTTATTTTACTAACTTATAACATCTTTTATTCACTGCTTTGAAATAATGTTTGAGCTCATAATTTATAGTATTATATACTTTTTAAAATTTTTTATCATCAGTGTTTTAATTTTTTTTCCATCTCCGTTAATATTTTAATTATTATATTTATTTTTAAATTTTAATATATTATTCAATTTTAAAACAAAAAAGAATAAGAGTTCAAAATTAAATTAAAACCTAAAAGTCTATTTGTTTAAAAACATATTTTTATGTCATTTTATATTTATCAAAAACTAGTTTAACAAATTTTAATTAATTTAATAATTCTTTGGGTAATCTAAACATGAAAAGGAAAAGAAGAAACCGGATCTTTAATGGGGTTCCGCTGGTTGTTGTCATATTAAGTGGCATAAAGCAAATGTTAAAAGATTAGCCGCTATTTATGCTATGCTATGCTTACACCCATTTGTAGTTGGTAAACGCCAACATCATTCCAAAACGAAAAAGAAAGTCACGAAAGTTATTTTTATTTTTAATTTTAAAAAATAGTTTTTAGAAAGAAAATGAAAATAAAACTTGTTTATTAATTTAGTTTTCAAAATTATTTTAAGATGATTGAATAAAAAGAAAAAATAAAACATCTTGCAGCTATTCTTGTTTTTTTAGTTTTAAAAATTGAAAATAAAAACTATTTTTAAAAATAGTTTTTAAAAACTCATCTTGACAAACAAGTTTTATTTTTTAATTATTTTTTAAAATTGTTTTTAAAAACAGAATAATTATTTTTATTCAAATTTAATTCATAATTTTAATTTATTCAAAGGGCTTTCTTCTCTGTTATATATATATATATATATATATATATATATATATTAAATAATTACAAATTTCACCTTTTTTATAAAAAAAACAAAACCAAGAAACATAAAATATAATGAGTTCCTAGCATAAATGTGTCATCATTGCTATCTCAATTTGAAAGTATTGACCGCAAATGCATTTTGTGGTCAATGATCAATCCTTCAATCTCATATACTTTATAGGTACATGCATTCTCACATTTAGCATATGCAGCTTGTGTGGTATTCCCCTACATTCCAACTTCTTGTACTATACATACCATAAGCACCTAGTTACACAACAAAAATAAACATGGGGTTCACTAAACTTCTATTATATCTGATTGTCACCACTTTGCTCAGTTCACTCTCAAGGTTCCAATCCTCCAAATCTAACATTTCCACTTTTCATGCTTTTGCCTTTGCTGCCATCACTGCCTATGAAGATGTAGAAAATCAAGACAACGAAGCAAGTGCTCTACTAGCGTGGAAATCCAGCCTTAACAACCAAAGTCAAGGTTCTCTGTCATCTTGGACCACTAGCACTAGTCTTTGCGAGTGGGAAGGAATCTCTTGTGATGAATCCAATTCTGTGACCACCATAAATGTTGCAAATTTTGGACTAAAAGGTACTCTTCTCAGTTTTAACTTTTCATCCTTCCCTAGGCTACTTTCTCTGGATGTTAGTAACAACAGTCTTAATGGAACTATTCCTCAGCAAATTGCTAACTTGTCAAGAATTTCTCAATTGAAAATGGATGGTAATCTTTTTAGTGGCTCAATTCCTATTTCCATGATGAAGTTGGCCAGCTTGTCATTGATGAACTTAGCAGGCAATAAACTTTCTGGATTCATTCCTGAGGAGATTGGAGAGTTGATGAACTTGAAGCATCTTTTCCTTGGATCAAATCAACTTTCTGGTACCATTCCCCCAACAATTGGAATGTTGAAGAATCTTGTTGAACTTGATTTGTCAGTTAACTCTATCTCTGGAACAATTCCTTCATTTAGAAACTTCACAAATTTAGAACAACTTCAGCTCTCAAACAACAGTCTCTCGGGCCCCATTCCTGAGGAATTGGGAAAACTCTATACTCTAACAACGATCAGGTTGTCATACAATAACTTGTCTGGGAGAATCCCAGCCTCCATTGGAGACCTAGTTAATTTGGTTATGTTTGAAATTGAACATAATGCCATTTTTGGATCAATTCCTTATGGCATTGGAAACTTGACCAAGTTGGTCAATATGTCAATTGCCTATAACATGATTTCTGGATCAATTCCCATCTCCATGGGAAACTTGGTCAATCTACACGCACTTCATCTTTCAGTGAACAACATTTCAGGAGTTATTCCTCCCACCTTTGCAAATTTGACAAAGCTAGTCTACTTTTTAGTGTTTGAGAACAAGCTTCATGGTAGATTACCCCCAGCACTAGATAACTTCACCTATATCCAAAACTTTCAACTATCTACTAATAGTTTCACTGGCCCTTTGCCACAACATATTTGCCTTGGTGGGTCACTTAGGAAATTTGCTGTTAACCATAATTATTTCACTGGCCCAGTTCCCAGAAGCTTGAAGAATTGTTCCAGCCTTAGTAGACTCAACCTTGCAGGGAACCAGTTGACAGGAAATATAACTGATGACTTTGGTATATATCCAAATTTGTATTTTGTTGAGCTGAGTAGCAATAATTTTTATGGCCACATTTCACCAAATTGGGCAAAATGTCCTAGTCTAATTAGCCTTAGGATGTCCAACAATAATTTATCTGGTGGTATACCTCTAGAACTTGGCCAGGCACCCAAGTTACAGACACTTGCACTGTCTTCAAATAATTTAACAGGGAAAATCCCAAAAGAAATTGGTAACTTGACCTCATTATTTTATTTGTTAATAAGCAACAATAAGCTTTCTGGCAATATTCCCATGGAAATAGGATCTTTGAAGGATCTTACAAATTTGGAGATGGCAGCAAATAATTTAAGTGGACCAATTCCAAAACAAATTGGAGGGTTGCTCAATTTAAATTTTTTGAACTTGAGTATGAATAAATTCACAGAAAGCATTCCTTCTGAGTTTAACCAATTGCAATATCTTCAAGATCTTGATCTTAGTTGGAATTTGTTAAATGGACAAATACCAGTAACACTGGGAGATTTGCAAAGATTAGAAAAGCTTAACCTCTCGCACAATAATCTCTCGGGGACCATTCCATCTAGTTTTAAGGACATGCTGAGCTTGACAAACGTTAACATATCTAGCAACCAATTGGAGGGTTCAATTCCTAAAAATATAGCCTTTCTTAAAGCTCCATTTGATGCATTAAAAAATAATAAAGGGTTGTGTGGTAATGCTTCTGGCTTGGTGCTTTGCCAAGAGTTGAGTCACAACCGTCATGGTAAAAAGAAAAGTAGAGTCATCATATTGGCGTTGTCCATTACTTTGGGTGTTCTATTGCTAGGAGTATTCGTGGTTGGGTTTTCATTATGTATTCATTGTCAAAGAGCAAGAAAAACTAAAGAGGATGCTAAAGAACAAAGTAAGGATCATTTCTCCATATGGAGTTATGATGGAAAATTAGTGTATGAAAGCATCATTGAAGCCACAGAGGGATTTGATGACGAATATCTCATTGGAGAAGGAGGGTCTGCTTCTGTTTACAAGGCAAAATTACCCACAGGACAGATTGTTGCTGTGAAGAAACTAGATGTTGCACTCAATGGAGAAACACTCAATTCTAAAGCTTTTACAAGTGAAGTTCGAGCCTTGACAGAAATCAAACACCGTAACATTGTAAAGTTATATGGATTTTGTTCACATTCACAATTCTCCTTATTGGTTTATGAGCTCCTAGAAGGGGGAAGCTTGGATAAAGTACTAAACAATGATACACATGCAACTTTGTTTGATTGGAATAGGAGAGTGAATGTTGTTAAAGGTGTTGCAAATGCTTTGTACCATATGCATCATGGTTGCTCTCCCCCTATAATTCATCGAGACATATCAAGCAAGAATGTCCTTATAGATTTGGAATATGAAGCTCGCATCTCAGACTTTGGATCAGCTAAGATTTTGAATCCTGATTCACACAATTTAACCTCATTTGCTGGTACTTACGGGTATGCTGCACCAGGTTAGGCCAAACTTTTGTTCTTAAAAAACCGTGTACTTGCTTAAATATTTCCTCCATCTTCTTTATAAGAGAAATTATTATTATTATTATTATTATAAAAATAAAGGCTCATTTTTATATGTATTATATATTTAATGTATGAGTTATTAATTTAATTATTTATTATTATATGTATTTTTAAAATGATATAAATTTATAACATATAATTTTTTATTTTAATAAAATTAGTTATTTATTTCTTATTAAAAAAACAAAGGAAGTAATAAACTTGGTAACCTTTTACATTATTATATATCATTTGAATATTTTGAATTGATCTATGACAGAGCTTGCTTACACTATGGAAGTGAATGAGAAGTGTGATGTGTTTAGTTTTGGTGTGCTTTGTTTGGAGATAATAATGGGAAATCATCCTGGAGATCTCATTTCTTCATTGTTCTCATCCACTACAATCACAATAGCATCTAACTTGCTGTTGAAGGATGTGTTGGACCAACGACTACCTCATCCAGTGAAGCCAGTTGTTGAAGAAGTGATTTTGATCGCAAAACTTGCATTTGCTTGCTTAAGTGAAAGTCCACGTGTTCGCCCAACCATGGAACAAGTGTATAATGAGTTTGTGATGCCAAAGTCACCTTCAGTGGATCCATTTCCCATGATCACTCTTGGTCAACTCCTAAATAATTGAACCTGGTTTTGTTTGGTGGTGTATGTATCATGTGCGTATGGCTTTTCTTTTATCAATGTTTTTTGGGTGCGTGTTTTGCATGTTTAATTTCTTCGGTTCTTTTAGACCAGGAAAATACTTCAAAGCTGTCATGTGACTTTTGGTGAGACCAAGAGTCTTGTAGGTCGAGTGTGTGCTACGTAATTCTAAAGGGAGACAGTATTGTTTTTGGCTAGATAATGATATATATTTTGAATACTTAGTCTTATTTTGACATTAATCATTTGTCCACTGTTATGTTTTGAAATCGCACACGGATTAATGTTGTTAAATGTTGAAACAACATTATTGTTTGCTTTGATTTACCTATATCAACCTAAGATAAGAATAATGATATAAAATCAGCATAAGTCTGAACAACTCTGTCACTTCCAAGTCCATTCCTCTAATAATTCCACGTTTTGCTCGGAATAAACCTGATGCTCATCAAGCTACTGTTGAAAGTTGCACCGTCCATGGTCAAGGCACTGTTGTAAATTCACCAAACACTTGAAGCAGGTCTATAAGATCACAGTATATCATATTTATTTTTGTACCTATACTTAAGTCAAATTTATAAGCTAATCTCTATACATAAAAAATTTATAAATCAATTTATATATATACATTTATTTTAAATTTAGTCTTTACTGTTAAATTTAAAGTAAACGACGTTAAATAAAAAAAAGACTAAATTAAAAATAAATATAATATAAAAATTGATTTATAAATTTTTTATATATAAAAATTAATTTACAAAATTTTATATATAGGGACTAACTTATAAATTTGAGTCAAAAGTATTTTTATAAATTTGTGATATACTCTAGGTTTGTATCTTGATTTTATAATTCACTCACACCCTCCCATTTGTCTCTACCTCTAATTCCACTATTTATATTGTTTTTCTTCTTATGTGTAAACTTTAATATAGGTCAAAGTTTCTTTTTCCTGTAGCTTCTCATTCCAAAAACTTAATTAACTTTGAATAATCTTCATTGAAATTTTTTTTTTTTAACTATTTCACTATTTTCACTCTCATTCTCACCTACACCTACCTATCCTAGACTCCAATTCCCAGGCCCGGTTCTGAGGGTAGGCTGAGAGTGCGATCGCCAAGGGCCTAGACTTAAAAGGGGTCCAGAATAAAAATTATAATACTTACTTGTAATTTGCAGTTGAAAAAATAAAAAAAATAAAGAAGACTTTTCAATTTCTCACACAATCACACTTTGTTTGCTAAAAACGTAATTACTTCTTCGACTTCTCCAGACCTTTTAACAGTGTGTGTGCAATTCTGTATTTTATCATAATCAAAAAGACAAAACCCACAATTGTTGCAGGTAGTTCTTTCCTCCTCACTTTTCTTTCTTTTTTCTTTCTTCCTCCCTGTTCCTCAATCCTTATTCGGCAAATGTTGTATTACTTTTCACTATACTTTTTCTCATGGTGATTCATCAGATATTGATTTAAATGATCTTTACTCAGAATTGAAAATGTTGCAATTTACTTTACCAAATGAATTAATGTCAGCTACTGAAATTCTTGAGTTTGTCAAATCTACAGATTGTTATCCAAATGTTTCAATCGCTTATAGAATTTTTTTGACAGTTCCAATGACTGTGGCATCAACTGAAAGAAGTTTTTCAAAGTTAAAGTTGATCAAAACCTACTTAAGGTCATCAATGTCACAAGAACGGTTGAATGGTCTTGCAATTTATCGATCGAGAAGGAATTTTTGAAAAATATTGATAAGGATGTTATCATTAATGATTTTGCATCTCAAAATGCTCGTAAAACTTATTTTTTATAATTTTTTGTATTTTTATAATTGATGATGACATAAGAATTATTTGAATGGATTTTTTTTTGTAATTTTATTAGAAAAAATTCTATTTACTTAAAAAACATATTATTTTAATAGAATTATGCTTTTATTTTGTTGTATTATGTCATATAATTTTTTTTGAAAGGGCCCCAATTTAATATTTTGGCTAGGGCTAAAAAAAAGTCAGAAACAGGCCTGCCAATTCCTCGTTAAAATCTTTTTTATCCTCGAATGCACCCTCATCAGTATTGCTAGCAATAACATTATCAATGTATTTATTTATACCTTTATTCACTTTCTCACTGCCATCAAAATTAAGATACAAACTAAAAGTGTATCACAAATTTATGAAAATATTTTTGACTCAGATTTATAAATTAATTTCTAAATATTAAATTTAGTAAGTTAGTCTCTACATATAAAAAATATGTAAATTAATTCTCATATTATATTTATTTTTAATTTAATTCTTAATTTATTAACAGATACTAAATTTAAAATAAATAAATAAATATATATATATATAAAGATTATTTTATAATTTTTTTATATGTAAAAATTGACTGAGTCAAGTAAATGACTAAAATATTATTTAAATTTATTTAATATTAATATTATTTTGTTTGTTTAAGCGTTCTTGAGAAACCGAGAGAAGTGAAACACCTTAAAATTTGATGATAGTGTAGTAACAAAAAAAGGCTGAACCTTAGGTACACCGCCTAAGATTGAAGAAGCTGATATATTGCAATATTGCCATCGACAATCTGTCCTGATTGGATAGGCTTTCAAACTCCCTTTCAGGATAATTAAAAAGAATTCCGCCCACATAAAGAGCATTGGAATGTGCACTAATTTCATTCCAAAGGTTATGATTGGTTATGTGAAATGGAGTTAATATCATGAGTTCATATAATGATTTTAAAAAAATTAAAACCAATACATAATTTACCACATCTATATGTAACAAAAAATATTTTAATTATACTTTTAGTTCATATTATGTGTAATTTTTCTAAAATTTTAACTAATTAAAGTCTTCTCCTATTTCAAAAGTTAAGAAAATTTGTTCCCTTTGTGTACTTTTTGTTTAGAACTTTTAAATAATTTGTTTGCTCAAATATAAAATTTTTATATTTTCATTTATAGAAAATTTAATATTTTTATTAACAGATTTTAAGTAGACGATTGAAGTAATTTAATTGATTCAAAGTAAATATTTAGAGAAAAATTAATATATGTATATATATATATATTTAAAAATCAATGAAAAAATTAAGATAAAGAATTATTTGGCTTTTTTTCAACGAAGAACTAATTGGATTAAGAAATACTAAGAACCAAAATCACACAAAATTTACATTAAAAAAATTTAAAATATAATTAAACTGAATGCGATTAAAAGAGCGGTAGGGTTTATGTGATTGACTATATAAACAGTCTCTTAAACCTACTTCCTAGTCCCTACCTTACTATTCAATTCTTTTATCCATTCTGCGACCTCGTTTCGTTTGTAGCCGCTACAAATTGGAGCTTTCTTCAGTACGGCGTCGTTTGGTAGGTCTCCCTCATTGATGATTTCTGTACCTTGCTCCACCTGCGAGATAGATTATTCCGTTTGTTATTTCTTCTTTACCAAACAAGTTCTGCGATTTCCTATTTTAAAAGTCAAAATCGATGGATCTCATGCATTATATATATATATATATATATATATATATATATATATATATATATATATATGAATAATGTTCCCAGTGAAGCCAGTGATGATTGATTCTTATCCGTGTAGCAAGTGCCGTCTGAAAGCAAACTGTTCCTACGGTGTGTGATGCACATTTTTCACACTATCTGAGGCTTCATTTTATATCTATTTTCAGAATTTATATTTACAAATCAAATCTTTTTCTCTGTTTTACCCGTAGAATATTCAAATCAAAGCTTAAATAAAAGAAAGAGTCCTGGATCCCAATAAGGTAGAGTACTTTTGCAGCCTCAGTTTGAATGTAGTTACGGTGTTGTTGGATAGAAAATCAATGTTTAAACATAAAACCAGCATAAATCTCAGCAACTCTGCCCCTTTCAACTTGGACACTCAGTAGAATAACAAAACATGTAACCTTTCCTGTTCCAAAATAAACAAGATCGGCTCAAGTACTTGCTCATTCATCAAATACTAAAGAGGGGATATTATGCCATTGAATTTAATGTTTTGTTTCTTTGAACTATTCTTGAGAAAGAGGCAACTGAAACACTTAGTCAAATTCTAAAATATGAAAAAGGGGCTCACGTATATTGGGGGTACACAAAATGTAAACATGTATCATTGCCCTTTTTGTTAAAAATTTTATACATACAATGGTGTAGTAACTGTGGTGAGTCTAACTCATGGATTTGCATTATGGGAATTGTGGTAGAGATCATCTGGATTTGTGAGAATTGTGGTAGACATCATCTTTGCTATGTTGTCCAAGGATTGAATTTTTTTCTTTTTCCTGATATAAGATTTGTTTTAAACTTTTTTTTTTTTTTTTTGTAATGTAAGACGGGAACAAGAACAAAAAACAGAAAAAAAAATTTACATCCATAGGAACAAAGTTCCTCTCACGTAAGCTCAACTGCATGTTGTAAGTCACTTGAATACAAGAGACCCACCTAGCAACATGAAAAGCAGGAGCCCCTCCCTTTTGATAAATACGGCCAATATAAAAAACCAGGTGCTGAATCTTCAAAACAAGCCTAAACAGTGGATCTGGAATTAGCGAAGACAACAGAGATTTTAAACAACCACAACTCTTAAAGAACGATGATCATGAATGGACTGTCATGATGAACCTGAGAGCAGAGATCCAATCTTTCCACACCAAAGTATCTTAAGAGCATGATTGCACATCAACCCTAAACCTTCACCACACCTGCAGCAAAATAGAGCAGGTGATATAGATCTTCAACAATGATGTGAAGCTAGGAAATGACATGTAGGAAGCGCTTCATGCTCAAGTTTCCAGGTAAAAAAACAAAGATTTTTCGGAACTTGTAATCTCCACAACTAACCAGATAAGCATCCTTGGTAGTATAGCCCCATGTTTTAAATTCAGTTGCACTTCATATAGACTATAGTTTTGAAAAAATGATACTTGCAATCTGAGAATATGAAAGCAACTAGAACACAACTAAATTGGGAGTTTAACAGGGTTGGGAAATTATACAATATTGTGACATGCTTTTAACTGAATTTATTCTATCACCATCAAACTTCATAACGAAAAAGGAAATAAAAGAACTGAAGAAGAGGAAGAAAATAGAAAGGAAAAAGCAGTGGTGAAGAGAGGATGCTAAATTGGGTCGTAATATTGATTAATAATATTAATAATCAGTAAAACAATTGTTTCATGGGATCAGTTTTACAACCGCATGTTGTTGGACTTTGCAGTTACATTTAAGCTTCATACATGTTAGGGTGCCTATTACAAGCACAGCCCTGATGAAACACAGTTCAACATAACGACAATCCAATAATATAAAACACTAGTGAATTACAGCTTAATAACCACAAAAACAAACACATACGCAAATGGTACTGATAACATTGCTTAGAGTAATTTCTATGGTTACAGCACTATAATAGGACTGGTTACTCTGTGCTTGCCATCTGTCCAAGACATATTCCCAAATACTGGAAAACCATGACTAGGCACACTTGTTGGGTGGAGAATAACCCGAAAGCTCATCTTTTCTCCAATTGTCTTAAAAGTTAACGAGCTTGGTTGAACAATAACCTTAAATCCTTCAAGTACGGTAGCATTCACAACATATGTGCTTGGAGCCCCAACATTGGTTACTGTACGAGTAACATTTATAGGGTTCATCCCACGATTAGTTACTGTGATTGAAGGATAGTTAAGATTTTCAATGTTGTAAGACTTTGGACAAGTGTAAGAGCCGTGATTAAAGAGCTTCATTAAATATTGGTTATGATCATGAGCACATATGAAGTCCAAGTAATCACTTATTTTCATGTCATAAACAAGTCCAGGGTCCATTGCAATGTTAGGCTGAATATGTCCAGAGCCATAGTCAAATGGAGTTGCTATCTGATCAAAGGCGTCCCGAATTGGTAGGTTGTTGCTATCTAGTGTGGTAGCTACAGCAAGAGCATAGTTCTTGATAAGAAAAACTATTCCATAGTTTTTATATTATGCATATTGATTTTATTTTTGACTAAGGTAAAAGGGTAACCTGTGTTTCTTTTTGTCTATGGATATAGGTGTATTATTTTGCAAACTTACCAGTAGTCATAATGGCTGATTTAATAGCTGCTGGACTCCAATCAGGATGAAGAGTTTTGATAAGACCTGCAATGCCAGCAACATGAGGGCATGACATAGAAGTTCCTTGTTGCACATTGAAAGGAACTCGGCGTGTATCTGATGGTAGATTAGAGGGACTTGTGGCTAGTGAATAAGCAGCAAGTATGTTAACACCAGGAGCAGTTATGTCAGGCTGAAACAAAAAACAAAGCATTGTAATTGCAAAATGAATGAAGGAGTCATTGAATGTATTGAAAAATCTTTTTTTTTTCATGATGATGAAATAAAATGTTGACCTTGAGTATCAATGGTTGCACTGCATTGGGACCTCTGGATGAGAATCCAGCCATAATTGGAGCTGGCTTTATTCCTAAATGTGTTGTTGCTACAGTCATGTAAGCAGCAAGTCTCCTGCAGCACAATTTATAAATGAAAATTTTCATTTGCTGAATGTATTTTCAAATATAACATTGTAACAGCTTAGTGATCTATATTTACCTGCTATTGTTTCTATCGGACCCTCCTTTTCCAAACCATTCACGTTCATCAATATTCTCATCCTGATTGGAATCCACACTTGCGCCTGGTATAGGATGAGGCTCAGCTAGAAGTGTATTACCACCTTGCTCATCATTGACCACAAACACTCCCGCTGCACCAGCACGAGCAGCTTCATATCCCTGAGCAACTGAGGTTGTTTTATCGCGTCGAATGCAGATTAATATGTTTCCCTTTATTTTGGTAGAATCAAGTGTTCCAGGCTTGCAAAGCCGGCTACATCAGTAACACAACACACACATGAAACAGTAAGTAATAGTAATGCTCTAACAAATAATGTAAATATTTGAAGCAAGTTAAAAGGAATTTGTGCTTACGCATCTTGACTTGTGGCATTAGGGAGTCTAGCATTGACAGAATGAATCAATTGATAAAATTTCTGTGATGGTAAGCCTCTGTTAAGACTGGCTCCCTGATGCACATACATACACGGAGTCCAAATAAATTAAATTGTTACAAAATTTAATTTTACCTATCTACTCATAATTCCCAAATACCTCTTCTAGTCAAAGGTCTTTTTGAAAGAACTTATGAACAACTTACGAAAAATAGCTTATGTCAGCTTATTTCAATAAATTTCTTAGTATAGCTTATCAAAATGATTTATTTTCAGCTTTTTTCACTAAATTTCTTTATTCAATTTATAGCATAAGTCATCGTTTAAAAAAAAAGAAAAAACAACTTATTGAATAAACACTTAAATAATTCGTGTACTTGTAAAAGAAACATGGGGCTACCTTAAGGTAACGTTTGTTACCAAGAGAAATGTTGGTGATAAAATCTCTGTCTATTGTACTAGCAGCAACTGTGAAGGACCATGGTGCCACATTTGTTACAGTTCTAGGTGCTGGTCCATCATTGCCAGCAGAGCAAACTACAACTACATTTCTAGCAACTGCATGGAATGCCCCAATGGAAATGCCATCAGTGAAGAAAGCTTCAATGTAAGGATTAGAGCCTCCCACAGAGGCAGAGATAACATCAACACCATCATGTATGGCATGATCAAATGCTTGTAGAATGTCTGCTTCATGGCAGCTACCAGCATCATTTGTAGACCAACACACTTTGTAGGATGCCACACGAGCTCTTGGGGACCCACCCTTTGCGGTGCCATTGCCATTACCAAAGATAGTTGCACCAGGAGCAAAATCACCACCAGCAATTGACAATGTATGTGTACCATGGCCAACAAAGTCACGTGCAGTGCGTTTTAATGGATCAAGTTTGCCAAATTGTGCCTCATAATTTTCGCTAAAGATTCTTGCTCCAATCAACTTCCTGATTCATCATATAGTATCTATATTTCTTTATGTGTATTTAACATATATGTGTGTGTTTTAAATGAACTGTTGGAAATCTCTGTGTCTAACATTTTTCTTATCTATAACTTGATAAAGTACTTAAATGCTATGGTACTTCATAATGTTTGTTTTCACACTAACTTGTTTATTGATATTTTAGATTGCATATAAATAATTAAGATCATATATCTCTATAGAAATACCGTTTCATTTAATAACATTTCTTTAGAAGCACTTATTTGTTAGTAGTTGGAATAGCTTACAGAATTCACTTGGGTGAAATTACACAGAAAATGACCTGTTACAGAATGTTTTCTTTGAACGTGTAAAATGGTCAATCTCGCAAGTTCCGTTCCCACGCCACTTTGATGGCACGGGTCCGTAATCGTTGTCGATGAAACTGGGGTGCTCGGGCCAAACGCCTGTTCCACAAGTATCAAGTCAGAAAATGCAAGTTTGTTTGGATTCTCGTTAAAGGAATTACAAACGTAAGTTTAATATAAAAATTATAATTAATAATGTTAAAATAAATATAAATTTGACGAAAAGATTAGGGTGTGAAAAAATTGAAAAAAAAAGAAAGATAATTAATGCAATTTGTTTAGGCCATATTAAATAAAAACGAGAAAAATAAAAATAACACGCTTTCTAATGTAACAATTTCATTGTTTATTATGTGATAAAATATACACGAGACTTGTTAAACAACGTAAATCTCATGTCTTATTTATTTTTTAAATGTGCCATTGTTAGAAAAAAATCTAATAAAAGAAGATATGTATATAAACATCTCTCAGAAACAAATTCATTTTTCAAATTTGCCATACCCAAAATCTCTTGTATGGAGCAACTAAAATTCACTGTATGGTAATATGAAGCATACCTGAATCTAAATTAGCAATGATTGTATTTTCGCCAAATTTTCCCTTCCACCAAGCGGAATCTGCAGGAATACCTCCATACTTTTCCAGTCCAAGAAAATCCCATGATCTGGTAGTGTGTAATTTATACTCTTTGCTCAAGAAACAAGAAACTACATTTGGATTTTCTGCACCAAGTGAAACATAATATATACATGCATGGTATCAATTGTAGCTTCAAAATGAGTACAAACCCATGAGAATCGTTTGCTCACTTGCAATCTCTGAGGCCTCTTCCTCTTCAAGTAGTGCAGCAAAGCCATTTATGTGCTTATTGTACGAGTACATCACTGCTTCCTTTGCCTTCTTATGGCTATGAGAAAAAAAATAAAAATACTTAAGTCATCAATTTCTATCATCACAAAATATCTAACAGAAGTTCTTAGATTCTTTACCTTCCTATGACTGAAGCCAGTAAATCATAATGGGAATTTGTGGCTGACTCAAGATCACCAAGTGAAGGACTTGGACCATGAGAATGTCCTCCCAAGTATACAATATATGTCTGCATTTAGAAAATCAAATTAAGGAAAACAATATGTGAAATATTGTATATTCACAGCAAAATGTTGAGTTTTGAAATTAAAGTCAAGGACAAGCAACTGTATCATATTAAGGGAGCATTTGCAAAATACAATTTAGTCAAGGATAAGCAACTGTATCATATTAAGGGAGCATTTGCAAAATACAATTTAATTAAGTGTTTATTTAATAAACTCTTATTGTACAAGAACTTATATCATGTATTTGACCATCAAACTTCTTAGAATAAGTTGAAGAGAACTTAATAAGTGTTTATTTAATAAACTCTTATAATGCAAGAACTTATATCATGTATTTGAGTAGAAAACTTATTATAATAAGTTTAAGAGAACTTAATAAGATAAACTATATTGAATAGCTTATAGAAATAAGCTAAAAATAGGTCACAAGAAGAGATTTATCCATAAGAAATGAGATTTAAGTAAATGGAGACCCGTGCAGATAAGAGATTGAAAACATGCTTGCCTTTCTAAGGGCATGGGTGTATTCTTGAAAGAAAGTGCATAGAATGAATGATGATAGACAAAGTTTGAAGATGGAGAATGACATCATGCTAATTAATTTCTCTAACTGGTTTAATTTTCTGGGAGTGCTGATAGCGGGCTATACTCATATATATACAGAACACTCTTCACCCACTTTTTGGAGGCAATTAAAATGCCATTGCTATGCCATTAGTGTTTTAAAAATTTTATTAGTTTTTGTTTTGATAGATTTTAAAATTGTCTAAAATAATTTTTATTATCATTTATTGATAACGTATGATAAAGGTTCTTATATTAAAATAGAGACAATGTTAAAAGTGAGAGATTTTGATTTCTTTTTCCACAAAACTTATAAACTAAGAGAATTTTCCTTTCTCCCATTCCCTTTCAACTATATATATAATATGTCAACATTATTTTTAAGTTTTGACTAATTGTTGAGTCAAATATATTCAATCAAAAAATAAAATAATATTAAAATCATTTTTCTATTTTGTTTATAGGATTTTTAACATAAGGTATTGCTCAAAAAAATATAAAATATATTAGCAAATTTAAATTCTAGTGTGATGAGTTTATAATAACAACTTAAAATTGGAAATAATAATATAAATTTAAAAGCATATCCATAGAATAAATTGAGAAAATGCAAATTATTAACTAATCCATAACTATTTTTTGTCGTTACTTAATTATTTGTTCACGTAAAATAATTTTAGCAGCAGAGGGTGGAAGGAACTGATTGCATTCCTCTTTTTGCTAAAAATGATTACTAGATTGCCGAATGCAAATAATTGTTCTACTACATAGAATTCATGGTTCACCTAAAACATGGCCCCAAAGTACTTGGAAACGTTTAAGGTTCACTCTCTTATATTTGGGTTGCATTCATGCTCCTTTATATTGCAGTAGTTGGGTATCAACAAAAACACTCCTACTAAACTCAGCTTCAATCCTACCCTCAACTTACGTAGTGCAGGTTATGTTGGGACAAAATAAATCAATCAATAAAAGTAAACTTTTTTTTTTTTTATCATTTACTTTTTAAACAATTTATAAATATTTTCTTAGTTTTACTATAATATACACACATTCACAGATACCCAAAAAATTTATAAAAGAGACTCACCACTCATATATAAATCCATTAATAAAATCGAGGATAGGAAACAATACCTGCACCTATCCTACCCCCATTGATATTGATATACCTATTTGAAGAAGCATCAAAGTTTGGATGGCAGCATGTTAGAGTCATGTCAAATTCACACTCCTAACTTCAAGCTTTGAAGAAGTAACGAAGGGAGCTCAATATGTAGAAATACTCAAAGATGTGGTTGGATTTTCAAATTATGTGATTGGATGGTACATAATCCTAACTTTATGTGTGTGTGTCTTTCTCTTTTTCTCTCTCTTCTTAATTAGTTATTTTTGTATAGCATGATATAAGTTCCAAAATATGTATTTATAGAAAAAGAAATAACAAAACTCAACCTTTCATGAACTGTTGCATTAATGTCATGTTGAACTTATGCAATCGAGCAAATAAAACTTTTTAAATAAACTAACCTGTGATATCTAATTTTCATTAATCACATTAAGAATTTCAAGAAACATCAAATTATTTACATATATAACACATTTTTGTAAAACCAAATACTTCAATTAACATAAATTTTACAACCGTGATAAGCAATTACGTATATCAAGTTATTATGTTATATATGCCAAATATTATATATTGTTTATAATTTTTTATGTTGTACCCCCAAACACATCACGGAAATGTATATTTGTTTATGTCTTGAGTTTTTTTTTTTTATTGAACTTTTCATTTAATTTATATCTAACGACCAATGAAGTAATAAATTATAACTTGTTAGATATAAGTTAAAAAAAAAGTTCAGATTAAGAGTTTTTAGACTTATACTAGCGTGAGAAAATCTTGCCTTTATATATACATATATGAGGAATAATTTTCTCATACCAATTAAAAATTCTTATACTCAATCTGAATATTTTATTTAATTTAAATTTAATAATCAGTGAAGTAATAAAATATAACTCGTTAAATATAAATAAAATGAAAAATTCAGATCAAATGTAAGAGTTTTTAAATTTACACTAATATAAGAAGATCTTATATATATATATATATATATATATATATATATATTATTGATAATTTAAACAAGTATTTAAGCATAAGTATCACAAAAGAAGCATTGGTAAAGTGTGAACCATTTATATTTTGAAAAAGTTGAAGAGGAGAAATGGGATAAAGAAATAAAGGACATGAGATTAGTCTTTGTGATATTTCGGTAATAAAGCTATTTGTGCATATTAGTTTATACGAGCAATCGTTAATTACTTTTAAACTGAGGCATCTAAAAATGTTTTGTAGCACTAATCAGCAATTAAAAAGCACTTCCTCTTTATTAATTATTTTAGACTCAAGTAATCCTTCAAGCCATGCGTGTTAAAACATTTCCCGTAATTTATCACGTAACGTAATTCCTATCTCATCAAAAGGAAAACAAACAATGATATTACAAAAATTACAAATATTGTTTGCATTATTATATGATAATACCTAATTTTTGTTAGGAACCTATGAATAATTAGGTTATTATCACAATTTTCAAAATTACAAGCCATGCGCATGTTAGGGCAGATAATTTCTTCACTTTTAAAGTAAATTGGGAGTTGTAGAACTTTTAAGAATTTGATTAAGAGATGTTAGATGGAGTGCTAATTTGATTTTATAATTTCTATTTAACAACTTTTCATATAAACATATACCCTCCTTCCTCCATCGATCTTGATTTTCTCCGAACCAAACCTTACATCAAATTCCTACCTTTTCGTTGAAGTTTCAATATAAATCATGAGAGCAATGCTGCTTAATTGTACATTACCTGGGATTACTTAAGCAATGTATGATAAAAATAATTAAAAGTTAAAAATTAAGTTTTAATTGAAAACTATTTAACTGTTTCATTAAATTAGAAATGTTTAGCGAAATTCGATATTAAATTGATTGATAAATATAAAATGACATAAAGATCTATGTTTATATGGTTTTTTAAATCATTTTTTATTTTTTTTAGAAAAATATTTTTATGAAATTGTAAATATTTTTAGTTAAATTTAAACTCTTATAATTTTTGTTTAAAAATTAAATATTTATTAAAAATAAAATAATAATTAATATAAATAATAAACATTAAAACTGAAAGTAAATGATGAATTTTATTAAAATATTGAGAGGTAAAAAGGAGGAAATGGTAAGTGAAAAACTTTGGATTCAAGCATCAATATGAAAAAAAAAATTGATCTAAGATTAAATAAGTTTGTTTATTAAATATCTCTATTTTAATCAAATAAACCTACAAGTTAATAGAGTATTTTATAAACTAACTGAAATGATTTGTTAAAGATACTCGTAAATATAATATAATGTAGTTGTAAGTGTATAAATAATAATAGTAAAAGAACCTTGTTAAGAAGAAAGATAATATTTAAATATTAAAAATATAAAAAAATAATTTTTATTAATAGATTGTACTCTTATTGTCTTTTGTCTTAAAATAATTGTTAACATTTTTGCTTTCTCTAAATATTTAAATACAATTGTATTCATCAAAATTTAAACTCAAAAATCACAAATTAAGTTAAAACAATCTCACATCAATTAATTCATCGAACTAGTAATAATAATGATAATCTTTAAATATGTCATAATATAATAAATTCTAGTTTTACTTCAACTATTGAAGTGATAAAACTTTTTGGCAAGTGCACCAAATCGTTGAAGTTACAAAGATTATCGTTCACTGGAATAAGTGTTAAATATCAAATCATAAGAATATTACTAGTTGGGTCACCAAAAATATAGTATATATAGTAGTATAAAATTAAACACAGCAAAATTGTAAAACTGAAAGTAACTGAAATTACAATTAATAAATGGACAAAAATAAAACTTAATACAGGAAATAATTAACAAGACTGCAGAATGTAAATAACTTAAGTAAAGAAAATAGGTTTTTGCAAAGATTAATAAATGGGTTGAGTTTAGAATCCCTTATCCCTTTCCCCTTACTTAAAATATTCTTGTAACTCAAAATATAGCCAATCTAATGATCAGGTTATCTAAATTATCCAACTCCAATCCCTTGGTAATTGGTTCTAAAACGACTTTTAATCTCCTAATTCCTTAGGTAAACCAAAAACGTTCAGCATTAAGGATAAAACCCATATGACCACATTATCATAAATTTCTATTCCTAGACAATTCATAATAAGCATTTTAACCCCAATCCAAAAAAGTCCACAACTTTTCAACAATAAACTCCTTTTCATCAACCTCATTCACGTAGAACAGCGAAACATTCAGTATGGAATTAAAAAGTTAGATTAAAGTTTCTATCTTGAGTCACATACAATGCTTAGTTCATTGCAATGGGTAAAGGTATAAGTTCATCTTTACTCAACCCCAAGAAAATTTAGCTAGACATTATAAAAGGAAATGAACTAAAATTGAGATATATTGCAAAAACAAAATTCATAGTCATAGAAAAACTTACAGTGAACTAATAAAATGAAAGAGTTACTGTTCTATTACAGAAATCAGAGAAGATGGAAGGGAAATCCAAGTTTCTATCCTAATCCTCTAACAAAGATGTACAGAAAATACCCTCGTTATCCTATTCTACGTAAAACTGTATGAAAACCTAAAAAACTGTGCTCTAGAATGTTCTAAAAAAGGAAAGATAAAAGCTGCCACATTTTCAGAATTTTTTCGCTTTTATATGCATCAGCCAGCATCGTGTCCCCACAAATAAAAGTTCGTGTCCCCACAAAGTGTGTCGTGCAGCACTTAACTTTTGTCCTTTAGCTCAATTGCCACTTTTTGTCTAATTTCTTTCAAAAATTCAATTGTCAACATCAGAATATGAATGATCTATACAAATTTTTCAGTACTTGCAACATTCTATTAAATTTTTTAATTAATTGCATTAACTTATGATTTAAATCTAATGAAATATGCCAAAAATCTCTAATTTCTTAGATGAGTTATAGACTCATCATGAAGCTAGCTCTCTGTGGCCTATTGTAAACCTGTTTTGGTCTTTTTTGTCAACAGCAACAAAGTGAATCATAATAAACACAATACCAAAAACATCCTTGTTTTAATTTAACATTTGTAAATTGTAAATGGCTGTTACTGTTATGTGTGCCTCAAGGTACAAGAGGCTAATGTAAACACACTTGAATTATGTTTGAGCCTGTTGTCTTAGCTATAGTTTGGTCATATTTGTAATCGATATCAACGTACACAATATCAAAAGAAGTGAAAGTTGTAAAAATCAAGGACACTGTTTCTTGCAGCATGCTCTTTCTCATGCAAGGAGTGTTAAAGTAATGGACCCTACTTGATATGAGGACTATTAACAATGGCATTACAAAATGAAGCTAGCAGAACAACATATGTGAGAACTCTTCATCTACCAAAACATGATGTCCACAAAGCTTGTATCATTTCGATTGATCCTCATCACCTTCTTCTGTTCACTTTTAAGGCTATCTTCCTTCCAAGTTTCTTGCACTTTCGTGTTTGCTTCTTTTTCCTTTGCTGCCACTACTGCTACATATGGTTATGAAGCTGCTGAAGATCATAATAACAATGAAGCAACTACACTATTAGAGTGGAAGGCCACCCTTGATAACCAAAGCCAAGCTTCCTTGTCTTCTTGGTCTACCTTTAACAATCCATGCAAATGGGAAGGAATTGTTTGTGATGAATCCAACTCTTTCAGCACTATAAATGTTACCAAATTTGGACTAAAAGGTACCCTTTTCACTCTCAACTTCTCATCATTTCCTAAGCTGCTCAACCTGGATATAAGTTACAACTCTTTTCATGGATCTATTCCTCACCAAATTAGTAACTTGTCAAGAATTTCTCAATTGAAAATGGGTCATAATCTTTTCAGTGGTTCCATCCCCCAAGAAATAGGGGCCCTGAAAAATCTAAATCTGCTTGATATTGCAAGGTGTAAGCTCACTGGATCAATCCCTATTTCCATAATGAAGTTGGCCAAATTGTCTTATCTAGATTTAGCTGGTAATCAACTTTCTGGCCACATTCCTCAGGAGATAGGGGAATTGGATAGCTTGAAGCATCTGTTCTTGAAAGCAAATAGACTTTCTGGTTCCATTCCACCTACAATTGGAAAGTTGACAAATCTTGTTTTACTTGATTTGTCTACTAACTCTCTGTCAGGTGCAATCCCTTCAATTAGAAACTTGAGAAATTTAGAACAGCTTTTCCTCTTTAATAACCATCTCTCTGGCCCTATTCCTGAGGAGTTGGGAAGACTTTATTCTCTCACAACAATCAAATTGTTATACAATGATTTGTCAGGGCCAATCCCATCTTCCTTAGGAGATTTGACCAATTTGAGGCAGCTTCAACTTACTGGTAATAAACTTGATGGATCAATTCCATCTACCATTGGAAACTTGACAAAACTCACTGAGTTGTCCATGTCTCTAAACAAGCTTTCTGGATCAATTCCTGCATCCATAGGAAACTTGATCAATCTAGAAAAGCTTAGCCTTTCGATAAACAATCTTTCTGGACCTATTCCATCTACTTTTGGAAATTTGACAAAGCTCACCTACCTCTTGCTTTATATGAACAACCTTAATGGTAGTTTTCCTGCGGCAATAAATAACCTTACCAATTTAGAAGCCTTACAACTAAGCTCAAATCATTTCACTGGCCCTTTGCCACAACATATTTGCCTTGGTGGATCACTTACAAATTTTTCTGCTAATAAGAATCATTTCATTGGTCCAATTCCAACAAGCATGAAGAATTGCTCCACACTTTTTAGGCTCAACCTTGCAGAAAATATGTTGATGGGAAATATTTCAAATGACTTTGGTATATATCCAAATTTAAACTACATTGATCTAAGTAGCAATTGTTTTTATGGCCAACTTTCACCAAATTGGACCAAAAGCCATTATCTCATAGGCCTAAAGATCTCATACAACAATTTATCAGGTGGTATACCGCCAGAGTTAGGTCAGGTACCGAATTTACAAGAACTTGAACTGTCTTCAAATCATCTAACAGGGAAAATTCCAGAAGAACTTGGGAATTTGACCTCATTGTTTCAACTCTCCATGAGTAACAATGAACTTTCAGGCAACATTCCCACAGAAATAGGATCCTTGAAACGACTTCAATACTTGAATCTTGCAGCGAACAATTTAAGTGGCTCAATCCCAAAACTGGTTGGAGGGTTGTTTAATTTAATTAACTTGAACTTGAGTAAGAACAAATTCTCAGAAAGTATTCCCTCTGAATTCAACCAATTGCAATCTCTTCAAGATCTCGATCTTAGTCAGAATTTTTTAAATGGGAAAATTCCAGCAACCCTAGGAAATTTGAAAAAACTAGAAACGTTGAACCTCTCACACAATAATCTATCTGGAACCATTCCATCTAGTTTTAAGGATATGTTGAGCTTGACAAATGTTGACATATCTAGCAACCAATTAGAGGGTTCAATTCCTAACAATCCAGTCTTTCTTAAGGCTCCATCTGAAGCTCTGAAAAACAACAAAGGCTTGTGTGGTAATGCTTCTGAGTTGGTGCCCTGCCAAGAGTTGAGTCACAACCCGCATGGTAAAAAGCAAAGTGTCATGATGTTGGCACTACTCCTTACTTTGGGAGCACTATTGCTAGTAATGTTTGTAGTTGGAGTTTCATTATATTTTTATTGGCAAAGAGGAAGAAAAATAAAAAAGCATACAAGACAAGAACAAACTCGAGATCTTTTTTCTATATGGAGTTATGATGGAAAAATAGTGTATGAAAATATCATTGAAGCCACAGAGGATTTTGATGACAAATATCTCATTGGAGAAGGAGGGTCTGCAGCTGTTTACAAGGCAAAATTACCCACAGGACAGACAGTTGCTGTGAAAAAACTTCATGCTGCAGTTGATGGGGAAATGCTCAATATTAAATCTTTTACATCTGAAGTTCAAGCTTTAACAGAAATCAAACATCGTAACATTGTAAAGTTGTTTGGATTTTGTTCACATCCACGCTACTCCTTACTAGTTTATGAGTTCTTAGATGGTGGCAGCTTGGATAAAGCACTAAACAAAGACACAAATGCAGCAATATTTGATTGGAATAGGAGAGTGAATGTTGTTAAAGGTGTGACAAATGCTTTGTACTATATGCATCATGGTTGCTCTCCTCCTATAGTTCATCGTGACATATCAAGCAAGAATGTTCTTATAGATTTGGAATATGAAGCTCGCATCTCAGACTTTGGAACAGCTAAGATTTTAAATCCTGATTCACCCAATTTAACTTCATTTGCAGGCACCTATGGGTATACTGCACCAGGTTAGGCCCCATTTGTTTATCTTTTAAGAAAGGACAAAACGTAGGTGCTATAACTTACGTGGTGCATTTGGTGTTATTCTTCAATTAAATTTAAAATTTTATCTTAGAAATCAGTATTATATCTAAGTTAAATCCTTTAAAAAATTCTATATTTTTTTTAAGAAAAATGTTATATATATGTTTTTATCAAAAAATAATATATTTGCTACATCTAGAATGTAAAAAAGTAATAAATGTTAATTTTTTTTAAAAATTATTTACTATCTTTAAATACTTAAAATCAACCCTAAGGATTAATGGTAAAAAAATCAAATTTTTTCAATAATAAACACATTTTTTTTTTTTTGCATAATATTAATTTCATACTTTGATCTGTTGCAGAGCTTGCTTATGCTACAGAAGTGAATGAGAAATGTGATGTCTTTAGTTTTGGAGTACTTTGTTTGGAAATAATAATGGGAAATCACCCAGGAGATCTCATTTTTTCAATGTATTCATCCTCTGCAACAACAGTAACATCTAATTTGCTGTTGAAGGATGTGGTGGACCGGCGTCTTCCTCATCCAAAGATGCCAGTTGTTAAGGAGGTGATCTTGATTGCAAAAATAGCATTTGCTTGCTTGAATGAAAGTCCACCTTCACGCCCCACCATGGAAGATGTGTATAACATGTTTGTGATGTCAAAATTACCTTCAATGAAGGAGCAATTCCACACCATTGCACTTGGACAACTTCTAAATTATTAAACTTTGTTTTCTTTGTGCTGTAAACTTTTGCTAATAGTTACGTGTTGTAACTTGTAATCTTGTTTGGTTGTTATATTTGATAAATTAGTCTTGAGCTTTAAAAACTGCCGAAGAAAATATAGTTTTGATTATTAATAAGATCTTAGACCATGAATCCCTGCATCAGTTATTTTAGAAGATCTTAAGTTTATATTCTCGTTCTTTTAAAATGAAGTGCAATGCTTCTTTCATTCCAATATAGTAGTAACAAGGTTGGGTATACAGGCAGCTTTAATTTAAATGTAAAAAGGATGAAATTAGCCTCTTTCTGATTCTTGTCAGAAGAAAGATATTATCTCAAAGCTGACCCCAAAATTTATATCGAGTACCATAACATTTAAGATGGACGTTATTGCCTCCGATGAAAGGAAACTGAATGGCATTAATATTGACTGTTTCGATTTTTAAAATGAAACAAAATAATTTTACATGGTATTTTCTTTCTTGTTTCTTTTTAACTTAAGATTGAATTAAAAAAATAATAATCCTTACTGTTTATTGTCATTACAACAGTATTAGATGTGATCTCAATGTTTTTCGTTTTAGTCACTATTCAGACAAAGTCACTTCGTTTTGGTGAAAAAAATCCACACTTTGATAATCCATACATTTTGACCTCTACACCCAACATTTTTTAATTTAGCCTTTATAAAATAAAAATACTGTTAACACTACTTTACTGTCAACAAACAGAGATGATTAATTTGTAAAAAAAATTCATGTAAAGATTGAACCAAAAGCTAAGTAAACAGAAACAGCTATGACTGTAGAGCAATAAGAGAAAAATTACTAATAGTAAATTCACTAAATTCGGTTGTTGAGACATGTATAGCCAGAAACAGAACATATCACTCATTAGTAAGTAGCAATTATTGCATCTACAAAGCATGGGGCCAAATGCTTTACAATCCACTGTTGGACCAAGGTTTATATGTGGTCCACAAAAAAAATGGTTGGTAGTCATAAGAAAAATAGCATTTGTTAGTCATAACTCCTCAATTATGGAAGTTGCAACTCCAAGAAAATCTGGTCTACCCTGCTGATGCCCATCTTCATTAAGATCATGTAGGTGGGAAGAACCTGTTGAGATTGAATGGCAATGTATAGAATTCTTCGTTTCTATTATCTCCTCTAAATGTTCTAAATTTCACCCACCATGGCATCCCTCTATCTTTCTTTGACCTTTCTACCTCAAGAGTGTTGTCAAGCAACACTGCTACTATCAAACCCACAGTCGCTGGTGATGAGAATATGGTATTTAAGAAAGCATTGAACTGCAAAGATAAAAATTTTTCATCAAGAGCAAATGCTAAAACAGGTATTGATGTTGACAAGTTAAAGGAACAGGTTATATGTCAAATCAAGACTCAGTTTCAAATTTTTTAGAAGTGTAGAAACAACATGCTATTTCATAAAGCACAAGTATATTATTGTAAGGGCCTCATAGTTGAGCTGGATAATATATCTGAATTAAAGTAAAACTCACCCATCCAGCATTTGTATGAACAAGGCCATGTTGCGAAGGACTCCAGTATTGATTGAAAAATTGAGGAACAGATATTCCAAGGAACAGTGTGAGCCCAGTGATAATAAGATTTCTCATAGAGTTCATGTTTGTGAACTGAAGAAATGATATTCCAACTGAAGCTGACGTACAAGCAAAAGAAATCGTGAATAGAGGAACAAGAGTAAAGTATTGCAATGAAATCTCACCGGAGATGATAGGACATACCCACAAGGCCAAAGAGAATGCAGTACAGTGCAGCAAATATTGGGAAGGGTATAGATGCAAACACAGCTCCAAATTTTCCTGCAGATGATGGCAGAAAAAGAAAAAAAAAAAAACTGCAGGTAAGTGAACTGTTTATTCTTTTCTCATTGCTAATTGTTATCATAAAAGCTACAATAACTTTTATGAACTATGTGATGAGGAACTGGATTGCTTTTAGTGTATTCCAGGCTCATGTTTGATTTGCCTATACCAACCAAAAATAGAGAAGAATATCATAAAACCGGATGAAATCTGAACAACTCTGCGACTTCCAACTCGGGTTAGTCCAAGGAGTCCCACATTTTCCCTAGAATAAACAAACATGATCTCATCAAGCTACAAAAGAAAAGATATATATATCACAGAAATTCTTATTGGTTCATATTTATTGGAAAATGGAACAAAATTTATGTGGATCTCACTCCTAATTTAACAAGTCTTCCTCATGCTTTTATAGTCTTCAATAAATTTCAACCAATAACTGAAAAGAGTGTGTTCCTAACACTCCTCTATATCATACACAAGAAGCAATTTGCAGTTAAAACTGAATGCCAAGTGAGACTTACACAGAAACAGTGGAACCAGTTCCTGTTCCATAAATACCATCAAGTAAGATGCCAATACCCTGTAAAAAATAACAAGATCAGCTCTCAGTTGCATCAACTTCTCTACAATATTAAGTCTTAATATGCATGCCGGTTGAGTATGCTAATGGTCATCCAGTGTCTAATCTCAGGATTGAAGCCTTAAAACTATTCAAATTAAATGTGGGTATAAGTAAAGCTATGTTTGGATAACTGAAAAAGGATGAAATGGAATGAATAACAAATTGTATACCTCTTTAAGAGTTTGGATGGAACCACTCTAGGTAATGATAAAGTATATACCTCTTGCCATTATGAAAACTTGCCTCCATTTCATTATAAAATATCCAAACAATATTTCCAGAAAAAAAATTTCAAACAATAGTATGATAACTTCATTTCATTTCATCACACTCCATTCCATTTCACCTGTCACTGAATATGCAAGCATGGCCCTAGGCAATTCAATTTTAATAAATGACTTGTGCCTTGTAACTTACCTGCCAACCAATGCCTCGACTCAGCACATAAGCAGGAGGAGGAGTAGCAATTGCTAACCGAGAGGCTGCCTCGTATGCACCAGTTGACTGCAAGAAGTCATAATCAAGACATTGTTGAAAATTCACTCAATACCATGAGAGACTATTCTGGTGATTCTAGCTAATCTTTAGTTCTTTAAACACTGTGGATTGAGGGAGAGCGTTGAAACTCCTTCGCCAAATTTTGAAGTGTGAATACTATTGTAGCAACAAACAAGCACTGGGATAGAACATATAAACGAGCACAGTGAAGCTCACCAGACAGCCATTTAGCTTGTCAAAATAGCTAAAAATTAAAAAGCAAAATCAGGAAAGAAAATAGATACCTCCACAATTGAAACAATAACTGCTGACATCATGGCAAACGAATGGCCAGCAGAAAATGTTGGTGGACCCCATTGGAATGGATATGGGAACATGAACCTAGTACAACAAGAAGAAACCTCAGAACTAGGCAAAACTTCAGAACATATCAGAAGAAATTAAGAAAAAAAATTCCATGTACCATGGGGCAGTAGATATCAGATTTGCTCTGTCTGTTCGACAACTATGTTGTGTTACGTTAGGCTTATGTCGGTAAGCTCCACTGGCAGTCAAGATAATAGCATAGATCCAAACAATGGGGACACAAATCAACACTGGAAAACGTTCAAAGATAGGGATATCTCTAAATGGTCTCACATGCTTTAGATACTGCAATTTACAGAACTTTGACATTAGTTCATCTTAAGGAAAGAAATAATAATTTGACGTTCACCACGATGTTCTAGTTAAGGCACTTACTTGTGACAAACCAATTACCAACAACAGCATCGGTATACCAATTTCTACACAGTTCCCCAACTGAAAAAAACATAAAGAACATTGTGTAAATTTATGAAAACAGTACTGAAAGTAAAATGGATTAAGCTACAGTAAGCCTGGCCAATAAAAATATTCTAATAAATAAGATTCCATCAATGTTTGCATGCAAATTAAGCATATGCCACTATCAAGTAATTCAGAAGATAAAAACCAGACAAAGCCCTCAGATGCACACATACTAAAAACAAAGATTATAACATTCAGCAACGAAAATTGGCATCATTTAAATACATGACAACCTCAGAGCTTGAATTCAAGATAAGTTCCTTTAAAAGAGTTTACCATCATTCAGAATAAACCTTCTTCTAGATGATAGTAACAAAAATTTCTGCCATTAGAAGATCATTTTATAAAATATTTAGGGTGAAGATCATGACAATTAAAATGGATACTTGAGCCACACCTACCACAGGGAATCCATGCTGAAATAATCCTAGTCCGACCAATCCAACTACAGGTGCCATACCAAGGGGGCTGAAAAATCTGAAGAAAAGATCCACAAAAAGAAATGCTTGAATTTTATTTCCACATAGAATTAATAATTTTCAATTCACAAACTTGTCACATGCAACTAGTATACCTTGAAAAGAGTCCCCAGGCTTGGCTGTAACCCAGGATTATCTGAATACTTGATGCGACAATCAGAGCTCCTTGTATTGCTCGCATTGTTTGTATAAATCTCTGCAAACCAATCACATGGCAAGATCTCCTTCATTACCCTATCAAATAAAAAAAATAATTTAAGTGTGTTTCTAAGAAAGTCTATATATAATTTATGCTGATCCCCAAATTATTTTAGGTTGCCAGAGTCATCTATCTAAAATCAAGTCCTAGTATTCATTGGGAGTTTCAGTAAACTATTTTACACTACAGGAAATGCTGATAACCCACTCTAACAAACTTTTTATTATGGACTGGAGTTTGAGTGTGGAACTCATTAAATAGAGGGTAGGATCCACATGATTTCATGAGCCCTAACAAATTTCAACACCGTTTCCCTTAACAATTATCACTGAAGTTCGTAAAAATATTAAATCCCTGTTTATATGTTTAGCATTCTTATGAACCTAAAAGCTCATGTTGCGGATTCATCCCCTATATAGTATGCAGGTTTCCAAAACCAAGAGAGAATTATCACTGTGTTTATTTAACATTTCTCATACTCTTTATCATTGATTAAATTTATTAAACATGTAATTCTCATTCTTAATTTAATGATTCTCACTCATATTTTAGTAGATTTCAATAAATTTCAGCTAAGAACTAGGAGTGTATTAGAAATAGTGTGTTAGAGAGGGTGTTCCTAGCATTTCTTTATTTCTCTAATCAGTTATTAGAAGCTACAATTCAAAAAGCAATGTATAGTTTAATGTACTCCCAAACTACCAGTTATGAAAAAATGAAAAGAGGAAACTTACTTCATGAGAGTCGCTAATTTGTTGTAATGATGAGTCTGTGACAATATTAGCAATTGGAATTACATATGCAAATGAACCTCCAACAACTGTAGGCAATCTGGTTCCAAAAAGTGCTTGGAGAAGTGTGTTAACGCCAGCTACAAAGAGCAGAGTCTGAATTACCCTTGCCTTGTCACCCTGGTGGTATGAACAAACACAAACAAATCACTGACAAGTAAATATCAGCAATAAATTTGTGTCAAAAGCAATAATAACTTTACACAAGAAACCAGAATTCAGCATACATCACTTCCTCCCATGGCTGGAACAATCACTGAAGGAATCATCACACTTGTTCCCAGCATCAATATATAATTTTGAAATGCTAGTAGGATAGCTTCAGCTGCAAGACCAGGCATTCATAGTGAGCCAACACGAAAGAAAATGTAAAGGAAAACATATACCAGAACCTAGCAAAGCTCACTGTCTAAATTGCACTGCTACATTTTGCTTAGAAATGAGGCCCAACTAGAGCACGGTAACTGAAAACTCAAAATTACTCAATGAAATCAAACCATTAATCCAAGAACCCCATACTAATTTTTTGTGCCTTGGGCATGAATTTTCTTTTGTTCGATTTTCATATGAACTCATCATGCCAAACTATGAACAGAGAAATAAACACAAGGTTTTCACGTCATGTAAAATTCAAAGGTAAGAAAATTTTCTATGAAAGTTTCACATACATTTGGCATGGGATTCTCGGCATCAAGTAAATAAGCCACATTACCATATTGTATTAAAATCTTACATGAGAAAATTCACACATTTCTTAACAGATCAAATAATTTTTTTTTAATGATAGGTTAGGCATAAATTAATGTGTAGGACTACTGACCCATGCGAGAAGGAGAAGTGGGGCAAAATGGTAAACACAATACAATGTCATGATTGCAAGCCTTCGAAGCAATAGTTATTTATCACTCCGCAAAAGGACAAGTTGAAATGATGAGGAAAAAAGCAGTGAAATTTAAGATATCTATTTTAAAAACCAGAATGCCATAATACGTAATTTTAGCTTCAAAATAATAACTAACCCAATGAGCAAACAAAAGCAAAAACATAGGAGAGAAAAAAGGCCACAAAACAGTAACAGAAAAGTTCAAACTCCAAAGTGCCACTCCATCTACATAACATAAAAATCTCAACTTTCCGAAGTTATAGCATTTCTCACACTAATGGAGAAAAGCATTCAGAACTAACAAACGAAAATAATGAAACCCAAGTTCATGTAACAACTTCAAGACAAGAAAAAAGAAAGAGCTTTCTATCATTTCTTCCATTTCATCCATTTGGGTTTGTAACTCTGGTAGAAAAAAATCCAAAACATTCTCATTGTGCTTCAAAACTAACAAGCTTCTTCCTTTTTTTTTCTAACCCTCCAATGACTACTAAGTTCAAAGACAAATATTTAACAAGCACCCTCTTTTTTCTGTCAAATGGCAACAGAAAATGAAGAAAAGCAACAGAAAAAAAAAGTGACAAGTGAGATGAGAAACTTGACATGCACACAGAAACACACAAGCTCTTTTGCTACACTCATAGATTATGATAAAAGAGAGAGGGAGAGAGAGAGAGAACACACCCCAGGATGGATTAGAGTCTAAGCAGTAGTCAAGGTCCTGAAGCTGTTCCATAGGAAGATGGGTAATGTCTGCCATTGTAGTTTCAGAGTTGAGGAAGCACACAACACAACAGAAGAAGAAAGAAAGAGAAGAATTGTGAAGAAAGTAAAGTGGAGATATAAAGTGAAGAAAAGAATGAATATTAATTAGTCAAACAGTGGAAAAGGAAGTGTCTTCGACTCTGTAACGTCCTCTGCTGTCATCGAAAAGGATGTTATTTTTGAACGTCCCTTGCTAAAACCACACCTTAATCCCCGTTTAGGAATAGGAAAAGCAGAATGGGCCCACAAAGTCCCAAGTTGGGTCTATGAAGCTGCATAATATTCGTAATTAAAGTTCAAGTAATGACCAAAACAGAAAGCAGTTAAAGAATTAAAGTTCAAGTGTCTTTTTTTTCTTAAATAAATCTCATCTTTGTAGAAATTATGTTTGTAGTTAGTTGTTAATTTTTTAAAATTTAGTCTTTAAAAATTAAGTGAATACAGAATTACTTCATTAAACATTAATTATTTAATTGACAAATTGAATTTTAACTTAACACTATTTGTGATAGTTAAAATTTTTTATCTTAATTTGCATGTTAATAACATATAATATGTGCTGAGTTATATATAAAAAAAATTAAATCAACATTGAAACATGTCAAATACTCGCTTTTATTTTAATTAACACATAGTATTTAAATTTTTTTAAATGTAAATATAAATAAAACTTTCCAATAAAAGTAGATATTTAGAATTAATTCCTAAAAATATAAGTGCATACAAATTTAGTTCCTATTATTAATTATTAATACTATTTATTATACGTTGATTTAGCTAATAAAATTCTAACTTGAACGTTGTTATGTGTTAAGTACTTTAAAAGCATTCATTAGTATTTTAAATAATTTATTTATATTCCAAAAATATTAATAAATATTTTTTTATAAATACAAAATTGGAAGTTACAATTTTATTTTTTTTTAAATCTGAGTACGCATTACTTAAACTAATTAGAAGTGTGCATATTGGGAAATCGGCTTTTTTATTTAAATAATACTTTTTTAAAAATAAATTCCTAAAATAAGATTTATTCTAAACTATTTCCTTGTCTGGAGCTTTTTTTTGTCAAATCAGCAGCAGTATCGCACATGCATAGACGATAGTAAATTTTTATTATTATTTTAATAGAGTATCACTCCAATATTACCGATACTACACCAAAAATCGACACTTGTCAAAATCGAATGAGTATCGGACAAAATGAAACGATAACATATTTTTATTATTATTTTAATATATTATCGGCGTCCAGCATTCGATTTTGACAAGTGTCGAATGCTGGACGACGATAATATATTAAAATAATAATAAAAATATGTTATCGTTTTATTTTGTCCGATACTCATGCGATTTTAACAAGTATCAATTTTTGGTGTAATATCGGTAATATTGGAGCGATACTTTATTAAAATAATAATAAAAATTTACTATCGTCTATGCATGTGTGATACTGCTGCTGATTTGGCAAAAAAAAGCCTCAAACAAGGAAATAGTTTAGAATAAATCTTATTTTAGGAATTTATTTTTAAAAAAGTATTATTTAAATAAAAAAGCCTGGAAAATCCAAAGAAGCACTATTTATCACTTTGGTCTCCTTAATGGGATTGTACGGCAACCATTGTGATGAACAATGTAGGGCAGATGGTACATTTTGTTGGTGAACTTTGCTTCCATTATCATCCGATGCATAGAAAGATTGCATTTTCCAACGTAGGGCTAAGAAACCCACTTATTTAATAATTTTTTTAAACGATGACTTATATTTTAAATTTAATGATACAATTTATTAGAATATTTTTATAAGCTATACCAATTAGTTTATTAAAATAAAATAAAATTAATACAAGAGTTATAAATTATTTTTAATAATTTATTTATATTGATTTTTAAACAACCGTTAATATAATTTTTAGTAAAACATTAATATTAGATAAGATAATACATTGATAATAATACATAAATAAACTAATGATTAAATCTCATAAATTATAAAATAGAGATACAAATATTACACAAAAATATGTAATGGGATATTAAATTACTCACTATAAATAAGTTACATAAATAATATAATATGTATTATTGGTCATTTTCAGAAACCACCTATCATCTAAACTGTAGGTAGAATTATACAACTACTATATAATATTTATTTAAAAATCATATATTAAGTTTTGTGAAAGAAGCACATTTTTTACAGCATCGTGTATTTTGAAGACTTAAAATGAATTTACTTTAAGTCTACATAAATAATATAATATTTATTTAAAAAACATATACACAGTTTTGTGAAAGAAGCACATTGTTAATTTTAATGAAATCTCTGTCATTTAATTTAAAAACAAACTTTAAGTATAAATAACAGTAAATTAATCTTCAAAATGAAAAGCACGTAGACCCATATTGATTTTAATAAATAATAATTATGAAATAATTTAAAATAAATAAAGTTTAAAGAAATTAAGCCTCTTATTGTTAACATATTAAAAAAAAAATATGTTCATTCGAATCCATGTTAGCATGCGGTTGTAAAAGTAAGGATTTAAAAGGAAGTTAAGAAAATTGTAAGCCTAATTTAAGATATATTTGTTATTCAAACATGAATCTAAAACAAAACTAAAAGTCTAAAATCAAATTGTTTATTTGTATCAACTACTATGAGGAAACTCCTAGATTAATCTTATTGTGAGCATAGGTAAATTACTCTTTGGTATATTTACCGAAAAGAATGGCTGTGGAGGAACTCAATCATGCATCCATATATTTCTTCCAGAACCAGTGCTCTCTCCACACTTTCTCATTCATCTCTTCAATGGGAACATTCCTTGTCTCTGGAATGAGAAAGACTGTGAATATGGTCATGACAACCACCCAGGCGGAGAAAAAGAGGAAAATGCCGTACTTGAGGGTGCACATCATGGACAAGCATGCCTGTGCAATAATGAAGGTGAAGAGCATGTTGACGAACACCGTCACACTCTGCCCCGCCGACCTAGTCTCTAGTGGGAAGATCTCACTGGGAATTAGCCACCCAAGTGGGCCCCATGACCATGCAAAAGATGCCACAAATGTGCAGACCAACACCACCACCAATATGGCAATCCCTTTGCTCAAGCTACTTGAGTGGTCTTGTACCTTCAGCCCCAACAATACTGCAATCAGCACCTGAGACACAAGCATTTGCGCACAAGCTTCCAACAGCAGCACCTTCCGACCAGCTTTGTCCACGAAGTAGATAGACACCAAGGTCGACAGCACATTCACTGCTCCTGTTATCACAGCTGAGTACAAGGAAGCGTCATTGTGAAATCCCAAGGTGTTGAACAGCACCGGAGCATAGAACATGATCGCGTTGATTCCAGTGAATTGTTGGAAAACCTATACCAAAATGCTAATTCAGAAATAATAGTGTTTTGGTTCTTAATTAGTGAATATGATCGAATAACAAGTTAGGACCTGCATGCAGATGGCAATGACCAATGGAGGACGGTTGTGGCGCTTGAGGATGTCCTTGAAAGGGCTTTTGACCTCTTTAGCCACTTTACTGGCTTTGAGGATCTCCTGGAACTCTGGTTCAACATTTTCCACACCACGAATCTTCTTCAGCACAGCCTTTCCTTCTTCCTCGTAACCCCTCTCAATAAGACTGTTGGGAGTGTCATCCACAATGAGAGCCCCTATTGTTAGCATAATTGCGGGAACCCCTGCCACGGCCAATGATATCCTCCACCCATATCCGGCTTTAATCCTATGCCAATATTTACACACATAATTAATCAAACTAAAATTTATGCTTTCAAATCCATATCAATTTTCTATCACATTAAATTCTCACTTTGCAGTAAACCAGTTGACAATGTTTGCAATCAGAATGCCAATTGTGCAGTTAAGTTGGAACAAGATGTTGAGTGCTCCACGAATCCTTGTGGGTGCCATCTCAGAAAGAAACAACGGCACAGCCTGTTGTCAAAATTACAAAATTAATTAATCAAGAATCAGCAAAATTCATTATATTGTACGAAACAGATGAAAGAAAGTAGAATGATAAATGAAATACTTAAGGACCTGATTAGCAAAACCAACACCGCAGCCAAGAAGAATCCTGCCTAAAATAAGCAGCCCAAGGCTATTTACCACAGCGTTCAACACAGTTCCGACAATGAAGAAAATCCCAGCAATCAACATAGTTTGCTTCCGCCCTAACTTTCTTGTCACCGGGGAAGCAAACATGGTGGCTACCAATGCTGCTAGGTAGAGAGAGGATGTGAACAATTGAAGGCTTTGATTGTCATATTTGCAGTAGTTACTCTCAGTCCCGTCGCGCTGTTGTGTCCTTCTGTATACTTCTGGGAAAAACCTTCTTAGAAAGCCAGGCATTGATGTTACACCACCTGCAATATATATTCACAATATTAATTCCTCGCATTAAAAATTCTGAAAAAACTACCCTATCCTTTGAATTATGAATCTGATTAATTAATAAATGCATATCATAACCAATATCGTATGATTATATGTACCTGAAATTCCAATATCATAACCGAACATAAGACCACCGGTGGCGGCCATTATGCAAGATATTATGACAGATGCTGTGATCTTAGACTCAAAGTGAGTCCCAGATGTTGAGGCAAATGATCCTCCCGCCATGATAGTTAGCTAAATGTCAGTGCAACTGGGAATTTAGTTTTTCTATGTACCAATGTTGGTTGCTAGGTTCTTCTAGCTTCAACACTTTTACCTGTGTTATGTGTTGTTTTGGGGGGGTTTTAAAGGCGATACCAAGAGATCGACATTGATTTGTAAGTGCAAGTTTAACGGGAGTTTTACGTCCATTCCTTACTTCGCGACTCCTCAAAAAACATTAACCATGTGGAGTTCCCTGCTTATGGAAGCATCATTTGTGAACGTTCAAAAAAGGCTTACACGGACTCCGCTTCTCATTATCTTTCGAGCATAAGCTAGTGAACGTGTGGCTCTAAGTTAGACATCAAAACAAGTGTAATGTTAGTCTTTTTTTAGTCTTTAATAA